TCTGACAAAGGAAACAATCCATAAAACTAATAGGCAACCGATGGAATGGGAAAAGATAGTTGCAAATGACATATCAGATAAAGGGCTAGTATCCAAAATCTATAAGGAACTCACCAAACTCCACACCTGAAAAACAAACAATCCAGTGAAGAAATGGGCAGAAGATATGAACAGACACTTCTCCAAAGAGGACATCCAGATGGCCAACAGACACACGAAACGATGCTCAGCATCCCTCATCATCAGGGAAATACAAATCAAAACCACACTGAGATACCACCTCACACCTGTCAGAGTGGCTAAAATGGGCAAATCAGAGGATTCTAGATGCTGGTGAGGATGTGGAGAAAGGGGCACCCTCCTACACTGTTGGTGGGAATGTAAACTGGTACAGCTCCTCTGGAAAACAGTGTGGAGGTTCCTCAAAAAATTAACAATAGAACTCCCCTATGACCCAGCAATAGCACTGCTAGGAATTTACCCAAAGGATATAGGAGTGCTGATGCATAGGAGCACATGTACCCCAATGTTCATAGCAGCACTCTCAACAATAGCCAAAACATGGAAAGAGCCTAAGTGTCCATCAACAGACGAATGGATCAAGAAGATGTGGTTTATCTATACCATGGAATACTACACGGCAATGAGAAAGAATGAAATCTGGCCATGTGTAGCAACGTGGATGGAACTTGAGGGTGTTACGCTGAGCGAAATAAGTCAGGCAGATACAGGCGGATTAGGAGGAACTTGGGGGAGAAGAAGGGGAAAAATAGTTGGGGAGAGGGAGGGAGGCAAACTATGAGAGACTCTTGAATGCTAATGGGGGTGGGGGGAGGAGAAGGGGGGAGATGGGCATGGAGGAGGGCACTTGTGGGGATGAGCACTGGGTGTTGTATGGAAACAACTTGACAATAAACTATTAAAAAAAAGACAGAAAAAATAAAATTAGAAGCCTGAATCATCAAGAAAAAGTTGACTCCCCTTAGTATTGGTTTTGTTTAAGAAAACAGGGAAGTGTGGCATATGACTTAGAACGTTCATTATCAGAAATCCTTTCGAAAAAAGACATCAGAACTTTAAAGGAGCATGCTAGGGCATCTAAAAATTTCGCTCTGATTCAGTGCCGCTCTTTAGTGCCACAAGGTATGTAAGATAGTGCTATGCTGAACACACACATAAAATCATTAGTGGAAACTTCAGGTGGGTTTTTTTTTAGCAAAAATGTTAAAAAAATTTTTTTTAAATATTTATTTATTATTGAGAAAGAGAGAGAGACAGAGCATGAGCATGGGAGGAGCAGAGAGAGGGAAACACAGAATCCAAAGCAGGCTCCAGGCTCTGAGCTGTCAGCACAGAGCCTGATGTCGGGCTCGAACCCATAAACAGTGAGATCGGACTTGTAGTCCGGACTCTCAACTGACTGAGCCACCCAGGCGCCTCAGCAAAATTGTTTTTTAACGAGAAATGTTCTTTCAGGTCTTCCTGGTGGTTTGTGCGCTTTGTGAAGCATGCTTTTAAAGATACTCATCTGGCAATGACCAACTACCTCTTAACGGGACCCAGAGTCTCGGTTTTGGTTTCATTTGAGCCTCTGGAATGGGGAGGATGCCACGCCCCTGTGGGCACTCATGAATAAGCCACGTTTCACACTCACGTGAGTGAGGGCTTTTAAAAAATGTATACATTTTAGATTTCAGAAATAGAGACAGATTCGATTCTGTGTACATGTTTCTAAAGCCCTAATGTTCAGCCTCTTGTCTGATGACTCAGCTGAAAGGCAGCAGTATCCTTTTCCTCACCAGGGGAATGGGCGATCTGCCCCTGTTTGCTCAGATGGCCCCGAGTCCTGCCCTTTGGTCCCTTGGCCACATCAATGTGGCAGGGCCACCAGGGCCTCTGGACCCTGCCCACGGCCGGTGGTGAGTAGGCCCCAGAGCAGCCTGTGGGTGCTGGGGCTTTGATTTCCTGCTAATAGCCTGTGGGAGGAGTTGGGGACCTCGCCACAGATGGCGGTGACCTTGGATTGCACTGACTCAGGCAAAGCTGAGGCTTGTGAGCGAAAGTTTCCATGCAGACAGCAGGCTTAAACGGAACAAAATTAATAAGCGACCGTTAGGGGGAAAAGGTCTGTCTGGAGTTTATTTATCAACAGCCTCAACCTTTGGGCTGTCGATTTCAAAGGACAGAGAGCCAAGGGCCCAGGGGCCACTGGCTGGGTCCTGTTCTTGGATCGGGGGGCAACCTCTTCACACACAGGACTGAGATGGGGAACCACGAGGGGGAGGTGCTGACCACCGCCCTGTCTCCAGCTCTTTCCTGCTGCTCTTACTCACTTGCCTTGCGTGCGGGGGTGTTGCTGCTGTGCCCTCTCATCAGGAGGACAGCTTTGGCAGTTTTCTCTTGGTGAGCATCCACGCCATGGGCCTGGAGAGCCAAGTCCAATTCGAAACATGCACCGGAAATGAAAAGAGAAAGGAGCCTAATTTCCTTAGGTAGTAAATGCTTTCCAAACCCAGGAGCTCCCTTGGAATGAAAAGAGGAGAGTGCAAGAGAGAAGGAACAAGACAGAACTTCGAGGACTTCAATTAGGCTAATTGTTCCTCTCACAAGCAAGAGATACAGGCAGTGGGAGGAGGAGGAGCCTATTTATTCTGAATGCAAATGGCCAGGGAAGAATGTTAAGAATACCTTGCAGAGTGAGAGAGTTCAGACAACCGGATGTGTCTTTCCAAATAACAGAAATTAACAAGAGTGACAGAGAAATGGGGAGAGAGGGGGAAAGGGGGGGAGGGAGAGAGAATTAAGAACAAGGTTAAGCCTCTGTGGAGGCTTGACCCCACAGAGCCTTCCTGACAATTTGACGCTGGGGAAAAGAGACCCCAGAAAGATTTCTTTCTGACCTTCTTGACCTTTTTGGTTCAAGCCAGAAGCATCCATGGGGGAGTGGGGAGAAAAACAGGAAGCCACTTAGTAAGGATGATAAGCCAGAAGATAACCTGTAACTTGCCTGCTTCCCCTACTCCAAGTCCAGCGTGAGGCCACATCCTTGTCCCTTGTCCCTTCTTGCTGCCAGAGACCCCAGCGATCTGAGTTCTCCCCATCCCTAGGGCTGAGTCCTGTGTGAGGAAGGCGGCCCCGGGGCCCCAAATAGGGCAGGAGCGTGTTTTCCTGGCCTTTCCTACTTCCCAACACGTGTTAAGCCACGCTCACCAGCTCCCTGAGCTTTTCCTTCCCAGAGCCATGCCTTCTCCCCCTGCCACTATGAATATACGTAAGATGACCTCTTAGCAATTTCCCTGGGAGATTTGCTGGCATAAGCATAACAGAATTTGGCCCTCAGTCGACAGAGGTGCTTAGTCAATTTCTCTGAGCCCAGACCCAAGCTCTCTGTGCATTACGCTGCAGTTTGTGCCAGCCTTCTGCAGCCCCGCCAAAGGCACCGGAAGCAAAGACACCCGAGAGAGGAGCTCTCCTAATAGAAACTCTAGCTAACGTCCACTGCGGGCAATCAGCAAGCTTGAGATGCTGTACACGTGTTATCAGGCTGCACCTTTAACTCAGACAAAGAGGAACCGATGAGTTACCCTGTGTCATCCACTGGGTCAAGAGGAGGTCTGGGATTAGAAAATCCATCTTATGACTCTTCGTCACATGAAGCATCCATCCCAGAAACCCTCGGGTTTTCAGTGAAGACTACCTCTTGCTAGGAGACAGCCATTATGTAGGTGTGAAGCCTTCTCCGGAGGATAACAGTGACATTGATTCACCGCCTCTCAGTCTAGCCCTGGATGAAGAGGGGCCTTGTCTCCTGCACAAGGACGCGCCGGCCTGGACGGAGGCCCTGCTCCCTTGCACCTTTCTCACCAGCCGGCCCCGCTACTTTTTCAGTACTTGCAACACCTTGGCCACAAGGAAAGTCCCGCCTGCTCGTGAATCGTAAGGGGACACTGAACAGATGTCAGAGCAGTGGCACATCACAGGTGCACGTCTGGAGCAGAACAGGATCGTTGGCACATTCTTTTCTGCACAGAAAACTTGCACTGCTGTTTCAATGAGCAAAGACTTTCAGATAGAGCCCACTAGGTGGTACAGAGCACGTTCATATTCTTGACATTACAATGCGACCTGCTCCTTCACCTTCATTTGAGGGAACTCGGTGTCAAGGAGGTGTTTCTAAAGCACTCACAGGTGTCTAAATGCCCACTTGGTATCTCCCAAGCTATGTGTTTCCAGGGCAGCAGGGGTGATGCCGTGAGACCGGCTGAGCTGTCTTGAGTGACTGACAACCTCTCTGGGCTTCAGTTTGCTTATCTGCAAAATGCAAGTCCTGACAGCACCAGCTTCCCAGGGCCACTGTGAAGACTGGATGGATTGATATTTGTAAAGCAATTAGAACGGTGTCTGTTAAATAAATCGCTATCACTGGCTTCAGGACTGTAACCTGTGCAGCACAGATAACAAGAGTCAATGCGAATCTTGGACCTACCAGTGTAGACTCAGATTTTTAACTCTCTTGCTGCTGCTTCATCAAATGGCAGCCAGATCCTCTAGGTCTGGGTGCAAAGATGTCTCCACGTGGGAGATCTGGCTGCTAGTTTCTTAAGGAAGCTGGTGGGGTTTCTACATGCGGTGGCAGCAGTGGAAATGGGGAGATCTCCAGGGGAAAAGTGAATCCCAAGGTCAAGGGCTGGCATCTTGTAGTCCACCCCTGCCCCCAGATGGAATTCTCCTACATTGCCCCCTTTGAAGATGGGGTGCTATTCTCTACACTCTTCACTCAGGAAGGCTCTTTCCTCCATGCTGTGGGATGCACTAGGCTTTGATTTCCCCTGAAAGTACACATCATCTTGAGGTTCCCCCCAGGGCCATTGTTGAGTAGATGCTGGGATAGGGGGTCCTGCCATTCGGTGGCAGAGGTGGTGGGAGGGAGGCCGGGGGGGGAGCAGGGGGGCGGGGAGTGTGTGCCTCATGGACACGCAACGGCGCAACATGGTGCTTACTTGCAATCGTGCTTCTCAATTTCGAAGTGAGGGTTGAAGTTGAGGACGATCTTCTGGTTGGGTTCAGGGGCATAAACAATCCACTCGCAGTTCTGGTGGGATGGGTAATCCTGGGGGTAACCTGGGGAGGTGATATAGCCAGCATCTTTGGAATTCAAACGACCTCCACAGGCTGAGTCTGAAAGAGAAGGCAAAGAACCCAAAGAACTTCAAATATGCTACAGCCTTTCCCCCCCTCCCTGTTTCTCTTTGCTACCAGTGGCTGAATAAAACCGCTTTACAGACCTTTTATGGCAGTCCAGAAGACTAACCTACTTACTCATGCAGTGGAAGAGATTATTTCAGCTCATCCTTTCCACCCCACTCACCCAACTGCGTGTGCGTGCATGCGCACGCGCGCGTGCACACACACACACACACAGATGTGCTCACAATCGCAAGCACTCCTCGAATGAAAATATTCCAGAAAATGATCATAAATATTCCTAATTACGTGGTCTGAGATTAAAAACACAAGAGAGCTGCAAACGTAACATGCCCCCTGCCTTTTCCTGTCTCCCTCCTTGTCCTGTCTTCCTCTTGCTCAAACCTCTCATCTCTATCTTTATCTCATAAATCCTTCGTTTCATTCGGTGTCTCCCAGCCCAGCCCAGGCAGCCAGAAGTAATGGCTCCAGGAACTGACAATAGCGGTTTTGTGGTGCCGACCCACAAGCGAGCCTGGTAACAATTACACGTGATGGGGAAGGAAGCCTTTCCAGCTTTGGGCCAGAACGGGCCCTGGAGGGTGATTCTAGCTTCTTCTTCTTCTTCTTCTTCTTTTATTTTTAAAGAAAGAAACAGCAAAAACGCCAAACATTTAATTCCATATACACCACAAATTTGATTTATTATTTCATTATAGACCGAGTGGAAAAATCTGCATTGGAGAATTCACTGGCTCTGACCTCAGAGTTTCGACAAAAGTGCTTTGTGTTTTTCTCTTGCTTTCTACCCACTGTCCCTCCTGCCTGGTCACCACCACCAGGGTGTGCTGCTGCTTTGTCCAGCAGCCACCAGTAACCCGCTGCTTGAAAGAAGGCTGCAGGGGAAGTGGCGGCCCCCACCTTCCTAGCGTGCCTGGCTGGAGGTAAACAGCTCCGTGTGAACCAGGAGGCAAGGGGGCGACTTCAAAGGCAGAAAAGGTGGGCGATGACATTTGAAGACTCTCATACATTTGGGAGTGAAGTTCTGTAATCCCCAGGAGGGGTTCCTGGGGAATGGGGGTTTTGCTTAATACCATAGTAGAACAGAAGATGGGAAGGCACAAGAGACCTGGAAATATTCAGAAGCCTCCTGGAGACCTTCCTGAGATGTATCCCTTTCTTAGCATCAATCACGAGTTAATATCGCCATCTGCATGGAGCAGCATGGGCCCGTGAATTATGTATCACGGCTCAGCAGCCGCCCTCCAGGACGGGGTCTTTCTCCTGTGTTCCCTCTTTGAGGGAAAGGGTCATGCATTTTTTAACTCTACAGGTGCACTTTACTATTCCCCATGTCTGTTGGCATTACTGTCTTCCAGACCTCTGCTTTAGATTACCAGCCTGACAGACTTTAAATGCATAAAAGATGGGCACGCCGCACAATGGTGTTTGGGACACACAAATCCACACAAGTAGCCTTTTAGGCAACGTGCCTCCGAGAGCTCAAACTGTGCCGTGTTGAACTGCCCAGAATCTAATGGATTCAGGTTCCATTTCCTACTGGGTGGAAAACAAAAGCAGGCCATTTCCTCTGGCTAGCAGCAACCACATCATCCTCTAACTAATGACCCCGCACCCTCCCCAGTCCAGCAGGACAATGGGCCCAGCCCTCCGCACAGCGAGAGGGGAGGCCAGCAGTCAGGCCGGGTGCCGCCCGCTCCCCTGCGGCCACACCTCAGAGGCTGCCCGGATGCCCGCACCACCTCCATGCTGGGCGCCTAGCACCTTCCAGCAAGTCAAACTGTGGCCCCTGGGTGCCGGCTCATGCATGTGAAATTGGCCCAGAGGGACCCTCTGAGAAAGCAGAGGTGTGGGAGCTTCGATCACCAGCTGCTCTTACCGAGCTGGCAGGAGAGGGAATTTTGGAGCCGGGTCCGCTCCTCTGCCAGCTAGTTTGCCATCCAGTACCGCCCTGCTGCACGCTCACCCCAAACCACACTTCTCGCCTTGGAGCTCAGCAGAAGGAATCTGAGCTGAGCTCCTGTTTAGTAACTGTTATGGTTTCCATATCACCCCCACCCCCTTCTCCCACCCCTGCCCTGCTTCTGTCCAGCTGCTCCTGAAAGAAGAACTTCTCCTCCTCAATTTTCCACTCCCCCCCAAGTTCAGCCTTTCAGTAATTAGACCGGGCACACATAATCAGCAATAAAGACAGGAAACTTCCTCATATGCAGGTTTCATTTCTCATCCACACCAGGAGTAATCATTTTCCCACTCAGAAAACATTTCTGAACGATATAGAACCCAGAGCTGATAGTCTGTATTTTCCACGGTAAAAACTTAACTGAAAGATAAAGGAGTAACACGTTTCTTTTTTTCTGTCCTTTCTTTACCCGGAAGAAAATCAAGGCGCTTTATTAACATTTTTGAAAACTCACTGAAACATCGACTTTGCTTTTGTGTAGTTAACCCTTTCGAGATCCAAACATTTATGAACTCACATTCTCGTGTGGATGGCACTCACACTCAGAAACACACACAGACGTGGCTATTGTGCACACATCGGGTATGCAGACATATTAGAAAGTCACACTTCAGTCCTGCACACACTTTCACACCCTCTCATAAAATATCACACATCATTTGCACAGACATACATCCACCAAGATAAATACTAGAATTTCTGTCTCTATTTTTTTTGGAGAGAACCGAATTCGTGAAAGATATCAGTAAAACTTGTAAGGAAAACACACTTAATCCCTCTACACCTCCCCTTGATAATTGATATTTCATATCCAGGTTTGGGGACCCTTCATTTCTTAAACACAAACACACCCCAACCAAAATGAGCTAGGCTTTCTTCTGAAGAGCTATACCATCTACTACTCTGGAGGCCCGTATTGTGTCCCAGAAGGAACAGCATAAATGCTCTCTGTCCTGTCTCAGAGGAGTCCAGCCCAGGCAAAAGAGAGTTGAACGCAAGGGCAAACCCCTCTAGGCCAGTCTCCACACACAGAAGGGAAGTTGACCCTGGTGAAGTCTAAGCAACTGAGCCTGTTTGGTGAGTTGACAAGGAACTTCTTTCTCCAACTACTTTGCTAATACCTTTCACCTGGGGCAAATTCATGTCCCAAAGCGAAGCAGGCAAACCCAGGCCTGGGCTGTTCAGATCGGGTTTTCTCCTACATCTGGGAGGGAAGTCTGAGGGATGAGTCAGCTCAGGCCAGATAAAGACCCAAAGGCCCAAGAATAAAAGGATTGAAGTGGCACCTCTAGATGTAATTGGAAATAAAGTCCTAAAGTCACAAAGGTCTGATTTTTTTAGCCCCCAAGATGAGTATTTAGGTGTTTTTATTTGACATGTGAAATGTCAGATTATTTCTGACATCTTTATCTTTCTGTCTCTCTCCTTTTTTTTTTTTTTGTTTTTGTTTTTGTTTGTTTTTTCTCTTCCTCCAGTGCCCTTGTTTTGCTACTCACCTAAGTACCATCTGATGGTGCCTACATGTAAGCGGGCATCTGGTCTTGGGAAAGGGACTTTGTATTCACCCACTTACAACTCTAAGGTGCTCTGCCGGCTTCCAAAGGAACTGCCCTCCTGTGGAACCCAATTAGGACAAAGCATAGTTCCTCCGTGACACCAGATTTTTAGGAAGTCACAAGGAGTTAAGGAAAATCTTTAAAAAAAATTCTGCTCTAGGGGCGCCTGGGTGGCTTAGTCGGTTAAGCGTCCGACTTTCGCTTAGGTCATGACCTCGCGGTTCGTGGGTTCGAGCCCCGCGTCGGGCTCTGTGCTGACTGCTAGCTCAGAGCCTGGAGCCTGTTTCAGTCTGTGACTCCCTCTCTCTCGGACCCTCCCCTGCTCACGCTGTCTCTCTCTCTCTCCTAGAAATAAATAAAAAAAAAAAAATTAAAAAAAAAATTCTGCTCTGCCTTCTAAGTAAATTCAACCGGTGTTGTTTTAAAGGAACACTGTATGGCCTAAACTAGATGGCAATATTCACTAAAAAGAAGCCTGACTGTTGTGAGTACTTTTAAATAATTAGAATTGCAGGGCGCCTGGGTGGCTTAGTCGGTTAAGCGTCCGACTTTCGCTTGGGTCATGATCTCGCGGTTCGTGGGTTCGAGCCCCGCGTCGGGCTCTGTGCTGACTGCCAGCTCAGAGCCTGAAGCCTGTTTCAGTCTGTGACTCCCTCTCTCTCTGACCCTCCCCTGCTCACGCTGTCTCTCTCTCTGCTAGAAAAAAAAAAAAATAGAATTGCAATGGCTTAGTTTAGGAAAGGCAGAGATACCAGGTGACACCAGGTGACAGCAAGCTGACAGCCTCATAGCAAAGAAGAAAAGCCAGATCACCTGGTTTAGCCCAGCTGAAGGAAAAAGTCCTCGGCAAAAACGGAAGTTTAGGACTGGCTGAAGGTGGGACTGGAGAGGCTGGTTGCTGTCTGAGGTGGGTCTGGGATAACGAAGTGGGGAGGTAGGATGGTCTGACAGTGGCAAGAGGGGACACAGCACTTGGATTCTTGGTGACCTTCCTGGGTCTCAGCTTCCTAAACTGTAATTCAATGAGTGGATTGAACTAAGCGTGTAGTTTTCAAAATTCTTTTTCTCCTTGAATGAAACTGCCCAGAACTCCAATGTCCAAAGCAGATAGAAGCGGAGCTCTCTTGGATGCGGGAGGTCGGGAGGCCAGAAGGGTGTCGAGTCTGGGCCCCACTGTTCCCTCATCACCTCCGAGGGGCTTTTGCTATAAGATTGGGCTTCTTGGAACAGGGTTTGAAACCCACTGAACTAGATATCAGTTCCCTTGTTACTTTAAAATGCCTTGTAAAAGAGAAGGGGTAGACGGATTAGAAGACGTCTACTTATTTCAGTTCACTTTTATTCATTTTGAGAAAGATACAGAGAGCAAATTGGGGAGGAGCAGAGGAAGAAGGAGAGAGAATCCCAAGCAGGCTCCACACGAGCAGCACAGAGCCCGATGTGGGGCTGGAACT